TACAGAAGATTTGCAAAAATAGTACAGAGAGTTCCTGTTTCCCCCTTATGTTAACCCAGTTTCTCCTTATGTTAACATCTTACATAACTATAGAACAATTGTCAAATCTAAGAATCAACCTGGGCACAATGCTATTAACTAAAGTGCAGAAGCTGTTCAGATCTCACCAGTTCTTCCACTGATCCCCTTTTCTCTTCCAGTGTTCAATCCAGAATCCTACATTATATTTAGTTGTCGTTTCTCTTTGGTGTCTTCCAATCTGTGACAGTTCCTCAGTCTTTCTTTGTCTTTCCTGACGTTCAGTTTTTCATACTTTAGAAAAATACTGGCCAGTTGTTTTGTAGAATGCCCTGAGTTTGGGTTTGCCTGAAGTTTTTTGTGATGAGATTGGGGTCATGCATTATTGGAGAGGGTGCCACAGCCTTGGTTTGCAATGTCAGTTTATATCACTGGAGACCCTAACCTTGAGCATTTCGTTAAGATGCTGTCTGCCAGGATTCTCCACTAGAAAATTACTATTTTTCCCTTTTTAATTACTAAATGTCTGAGGGGAAATACTTTGAGACTATGCAAATATCCTGTTTCTGCTTTAACTTCCACTCACTAAGTTTAGCATTCATCTATGGATCTCGCTTATAGCAATTATTACTGTGGAGTTCTAATGGTAGTATTCTGTTTCTCTCATTCCTTCGACCTTTATTCATTTGCTTTTTCCTCATTTATTCATTTTGTTTCAGTTGTTTACACCAATATGGGTTCGTGGATATTGGTTTTATTCTTTGAGTTGCAATAGAATGATATCATTATTTTGTTACTCAGTTGTTCCAACCTTGGTCGTTACGAGCCTTGAAATTTGGCTCCTATGCTTTTTTTTTTGAGACTGAGTCTCGCTCCGTCACCCAGGTTGGAGTGCAGTGGCGTGACTTTGGCTCGTGCAACCTCCGCCTTCCAGGTTCAAGTGATTTTTCCCGCCTCAGCTTCCAAGGTCGCTCGGATTATAGGCACACACCACCATGCCCGGCTACTTTTTGTATTTTTAGTAGAGATGGGGTTTTACCATGTTGGCCCAGGGGCTGTCCAGAAACTCGCTGGGACCTCGGTGAATGCGTGCCTCCAGGCTCCAGAGTGCGGGGATTTTTGTTGTGGTTGTGTTTGTGTTTGTTTTAACATGCCCTGGGTCTTTCTTTTTCTTTCTACTTTCTGTGACATAAGAAGGTCATATTACCTTTTTGCTGCCCTAGACAGCCTCAATTGTGTGTTTGTCTGTGGTTTTTATGGGATACGGTAGAGAAACATTCTGTATTACCCGGTCGGTGGACTATGCCGTTGGGGTGAGCGAGGGCGGCAGATACAAGTCTGGTGATTGATGGGGATCCTATTCCTGCTAATCATGATGGTAACTTACATCTTATTAAAATCAATAATATTGATGCCAGGCACGGTGCTGTGTTGTTTGTTGTTCTGTTCTCATATGTGTGTGTGTGTGTGGTGACCCGGGGAGGCAGGACCTGTAGTTGAGTAAGGATCGGCCACCTTGCGGGCGCAGTGGCCAAGCCGTGTAAATCCAGGCATTGGAGGGCCGAGACGGGTCGGGATCACGATCAGGAGATTGCATCCTGGGCTTAACACGGTGAGATTCCGTTACTAAAAAATAGCCAAAACGTAGGTTTCGGGCGAGGGTTGGGTGTTCTGTGGTCCAGGCTACTTCGGATAGGCTGATGCGGAGAATGGCGTGATATTGTGTTGATGGTTAGTGTTGTCAGTGGAGCTGAAGATCGGCCACTGCACTCCAGCGCCTGGGGACAGAGAGAGACTCCGTCTCAAAAAAAAAAACAAAAGATCCCACACTGCACGTCCAGCCTGGTGACAGAGCGAGACTCGGTCTCAAAAAAAAGAAAAAAAAAAAAAAAAAGAAAACCAGCTCTGTATGCTAGGTCTTTTTTTTTTAAGACAGGGTCTGTTTCTGTTGCCCCGGCTGGAGTGCAGTAGCACGATCACAGCTCACTGTAGCCTCAGACCTTCTGGGCTCAAGCAGTTCCTCCTGGCCTCAATCTCCAAGTAGCTGGGACTACAGGCATGCACCACCATATGTGGGCAATTTTAAAAAATTGTTTATAGAGATGGAGTCTCCCTGTGTTGCCTGGTCTGGAACTCCCGGCCTCAAGTGATCCTCCTGCCTTGGCCTCCCAAAGTGCTGAGATTACAGGCATGAGCCACTGTACCTGGCCTGGCCAAGGTAAGTCTTTTTTTAAAAGAAGTTGTTTTATAGTTTTTATCTCGAGTTTTCTAGCTATTTAGTCATATTGATTACAACAAAGGATGATTTTACTACCTCCTTTCCAATGTTTCCACATATTTTTTCATTTTATCTAACTGCATTTTAAAATAAACTTTTAATTTTAGAATGGTTTCATACTTACAGAAAATGTGCAAAGATAGTACAGAGAGTTCCTGTGTACTCCACACCTTGGTTTCCTTATTATTATCTTATGGATAATAAGATAGATAAGGTCTCGCTCTGTCGCCCAGGCTGCAGTGCAGTGACACGATCATGGCTCACTGCAGCCTCTGTCTCCAAGGCTGAAGTGATCCTCCTGCCTCAGCCTTCTGAGTAGCTGGGAGTACAGGCACATGCCACCATGCTTGGCTACTTTTTTTTCAGTAGAGATGGGGGTCTCACTATGTTGCCAGGGCCGGTCGCAACCTCCTGGGTTCAAGAGATCCTCCCACCTAAGCCCCTGAGTAGCTGGGATTCAGGTGCATGCCACCATGCCAGCTAATTTTTTATTTTTATTTTTTGTATGGACAGGATATACAGTGTTGGAAATGGATTGCTTGCAGAGGTAGGAGGATTGCTTGAGCCCAGGAGTTTGATCACACTGTGAACCATGATCGCACCCCTGCACTCCAATCTGGGCAACAGAGTGAGACCTTGGCTCAAAAAAAAAAAAAAAAAAAGAGAGAGAGATTCAAAGATAGGCAAAGGAGTGGGAAAGCTTTATAGTGGGCAAAAGGAAGGCTCCAAGTCTACCCTATTGGCAAGGGGTGGAAGGTGGGCTAACTAGAGATAGGGGGTACTATGTGGTTGACTATGGGTGCATCTTTGGCTTTCCCTGGTTGGTCTTAAGTTGGAAGCAGGGACAAAAATTAGGGAAGCTGTTAGTTATTAATCAAGTTCTGGCAGTAGTGGGCTGGTTATGATAGAAGTTATTGTTTTGGCCGGGTGCAGTGGCTCATGCCTGTAATCCTAGCGCTTTGGGAGGCCAACGTGGGTGGATCAGGGAGGAGGGAGGATTTGGGAGGTCAGGAGTTAGCCTGGCTAACATGGCGAAACCCCATCTCTACTAAAAATACAAACATTAGCTGGGCATGGTGGTGCACGCCTATAATCCCAGCTTCTTGGGAGGCTGAGGCAGGAGGATCCCTTGAACCCAGGGGGACAGAGGTTGCAGTGAGCTGAGATTCACACCACTTCACTCCAGCCTGGGCAAAATTGTGAAACTCCATCTCAAAAAAAAAAAAAAAAAAAAAAAGAAGTTATTGTTTAGCTTCCTCGATTGTTACTGGATGCAAGTCTAACTTTCAGCAGACTGGCTGCATGGGCTATGTACTGTAGATAAGGCATAAGTAAAGCAAAAATTGACAGAACATCAAGGATAAATAGAAAATCCATAACCAAGCAGAAGATTTGAACACTTCACTTTCAGTAACTGATAAAACAAGTAGACAAAAAAAAAATCAGTAAGGATGTAGAAGATTTGAACAACATAATTAACAAACTTGACTTGATTTACACATCTAGAACCCTGCAGAACACACACTTTTTTCAGGCATACTCAGAACATTTATATAAAGTGACCATATGTTGGTCCATAAAGCAGTTTCAACAAATTTCACAGGAGTAAAATAACACAGACCGTGTTTTCTGACCATAAGCACAGTTAACCTAGAAATTGAAAACAAAAAGCTAGAAAAGCCCCATATATCTGGAAATTTTAATATACACTTTGAAATAACAAATGGATCAGAGATGAATTCAGTTAGGAATTTAGAAATATTTTGAACTGAAAAATAATGAGAATACTCTACCCCAAAACTGTGGGGTGCAGCTGAACAGTCTGTAGAGGAAAAGTATACTCTTACGTGCATACCTTAAGGAGTGGGGGAGGATTGAAAGTTAATGGGAGGCCAACGTGGGTGGATCACTTGAGGTTAGGAGTTCAAGACCAGCCTGGCCAACAAGGTGAAACCCCATATCTACTAAAAATACAAAAAATTATCCAGGCGTGGTGGTGCACACCTGTAATCCCAGCTACTGGGGAAACTGAGGCGAGAGAATCACTGGAACCCAGGAGGCAGAGGTTGCAATGAGCCGCAATCGTGCCACTGCACCCCAGCCTGGGAGGCAGAGCGAGACTCCATCTCAAAAAAATTAAAAAAAAGTGAATGGAATGGGATAAACGTCCATCTCAAGAAGTCAGAAAAGAATGACAAATAAACCAAAAAAATCAAAAGAAGAAAATAATAAGGTTAAAACTATAAAGAGAGCGGCTGGGTGCAGTGGCTCAGGCCTGTAATCCCAGCATTTTGGGAAGCAGAGGTGGGCAGATCACTTGAGCCCAGGAGTTCAAGACCAGCCTAAGTAACATAGAAAGACCTCATCTTTGCTGAAAATAAAAATTAAAAATCAGCCAGGCATGGTGGTACTGAGGTGTGAGGATCACTTGAGCCTAGGAGGTTGAGGCTGTAGTAAGCCTAGTAAGCCATTATTGTGCCACTGCACTTCAGCCTGGGTGACGGAGTGGGACCCTGTCTCTAAAAAAATAAAATAAGGCTGGGCACAGTGGCTCACACCTGCAATCCCAGCACTTTGGGAGGCCAAGGCTGAGGTCAGCAGTTTGAGACCAGCCTGGCCAATATGACAAAACCTCATCTCTACTAAAAATACAAAATATTAGCTAGGCGTGGTGGCGTCTCAAAAAAAAAAAAAAAAAAAAAAAAAAGGAAGATTCCAGTAGAGAGAGGTGGGATGTCCCGGAGAGGCAGTAGCTAATCAGTGGGAAAAAGTTCCCCAGGAGATTGTGGGGGACAGAACCCGCATCGCAGGTGAGGAGATATTTCACTGGCGAGAACACCTCTTCCAATGCTACTTACTGAAGGGAGGAGAAAAGGATGGGCGTGTTTCTTCAGGCCTGGTGCAGGCAGGGAGGGAGTTAAGGGAGTTCCCATGACAGGGCTGCTGTTTTCTCTTTGAAGAAAGAGGCAACACCTGCTGAAAGAGAATGCGGTGGGTTTGAAAATGGTGGAGGGGCTGGGTGTGAGCGCCCGGCCAGGTGAGCGTGGGGTTTCTGGCAGCGCAGAAGGCCTGGTTGTGGGAAAAAGCCACGGGTCTCCTTCAGCACCCACCCAGGGGCAGGCATGAAGGTGGGCAGCGGGATTCATCCAGTGGGGTAGGGCTGCCAAGGGGCGTGTGGGAAGGACAAGGACGTGGAAGACACTCTATTGGCAAGAGAGTGACTTACTTGTTGGGTGTGGCTGCAACCCAGGAGCAGGTGCGGTGGGAGTCTGGAGACGGGATAGCTGGAAGATCGCTCAGGAGCGGGAGCCAGGTGGATTCCCTCTAAGATGGAGCCTGTCCCCAGGACTGATGACAGGGTCCCAAGCATGGCCTTGGAGCAGGAGAAACCACAAGGGTCAGCAGGACTAGGATGAAGGAAGTCACAGGGTGCACATGAAGGCTGGAGCACCCCACTGACAACCTCAGGCGTGGAGGGAAGACAGTGGTCCGACGCAGTCAGTTAGATGGGGAAGCTGGTAGAAGGCAGTGCCCAGGAGTGGTCTCTTTTTTTTTTGAGACGGAGTTTCACTCTTGCTGCCCAGGCTAGAGTGCAATGGCACGATCTTGGCTCACTGCAACCTCTACCCAGGTTCAAGAGATTCTCCTGCCTCAGCCTCCTGAGTAGCTGAGATTACAGGCGTGTGCCACCATGCCCGACTAATTTTTGTATTTTTCTTTTTTTTTT